GCATGGACACCATCAATCTTGACCTAACGCGACGTTTGTTTATTACTTTGGAAAGAAGCGAATGGCTTTATGAGCCCCAGCGTAATTAAACCAGGAGGGCTACGCTCACCGTGGCACCGCACCACCTTTGGGGCGGATTCACAACAGACAAGACGCCGGGGAGGCGAGGCAGAAGGGAAAAGGAAAAAAAAGCTGGGGGGGGACCGATACGGGAATGACGACTGGTGCCCTCCCAGCCCGTGAGCTTGTGACCGAAATACGGGACCGAAACCCGCGCACGTCCCCGGGGAGCTCCGAGCGGTTCCCTTAGGGCACAGCCAAGGCTCGCCAGCCTCTCGCGCATCTTACCGCGCAAACCTGAGCGCGCCCTCCGCGCCACCCCGGCTGCGCGCTACCTGCGCCCCCGCGCAGCGACAGCTCAGCCTCGCACGGCCTGACAGCACCCACCACCGTGCTCCTCATCTCCCGCCTAGCCTAAAAAAACCCTACCAAAATCCGCAAAACAAAAATGACCCCAACACCCCCCGCCCCCCAAAGAAAAAAACCGAAAAAACCTAATCAAAAGATTAGCTCATCTCAAAGTGCAGATGAATTTAGCCAATACGCCTGGTCCCAGCACAGGGAGACGGGGAAAATGGACTGAGTACGCGAAGGAGTTTAAATCACTTTACGAGTGAAATTAATTGAAAGCTAATGTTCGATTAGCCGCCGCTGTTGAAATGGTTTATTTCGGGAAGCGGACGGGGGAGAGCTTCCAGGGGCCGCGCCGCACCGCAGCTCTCCTGCGCTGTGCACTGGAGCCATGTGCGCGCCTCGGCCCTACACGCTTTTGCCTACGCAATCAACCACGTAATAAAGACTGAGCACTTTTACCTCACGCTCATCTCTACGTGGGCGCGGAGGGGCGCGCAGCCCCCGACCGTGCGCCACGGCTCCTTTCCCGCGCTGCCTCCCGCAAAGCCCGCACAGCCCGCACAGCCCGCAAAGCCCGCACAGCCCGCACAGCCCGCAGCAGCTTTTGCGTGCGCCAAGCGGGACTCGCCCGAAACGCCCAAGCCAAGCCTCCAGAGGACAGGGCAAAACTGTAAGCTCGTCCTGCTCCAGCGGCGTGCTTTTGGGGAGGTGAGAGCAGCGTACAGGCAGCTGGTCAAAGCGCTGCAGCCCCACAGTTACCAACAGCGTTACGAAGTTGAGCCCGGCTATGAAAATAGCCTCTAACTTCGAAACGCCTTTCCCGAACTTCTTGGCTATCAGAAAGAGCCCCAGATATCATAAAACGCCGATTTGGAACCACTCAATTAATGTCTCCATCCACAAAACAGCCCCACCATGTTCTCCATCTGACCTGGCCTGTGGCGGTAGGGAAGGGGTTTTAATCCATGACCTCTTGACTACCTGCATGCATTTCTCTGCTATTTTTGATTATGACCTTTGCATAATAGGAACATATTAGGAACAGTAATTACTTTAAGAAGAAATTCTAAGGAGGAAACTTAGAAAGGAGAATATTCCTCCTCTCTACGTTTTCCACAGTTTAAGTGACAGATGAGCGAGTACAAGTGAGAAACCACCAGAACCACCATGAAAATTGAATGGTTCCTCAAATCTATTAAAAAAAAAAAAAAAAAAAAAAAAGCTGTTTTGTTTTAAAGACGAAAAGCAAAGCAACAGTTTGGAAAACTAAAAAAAAAATCAGTTTGAGCTAAAAAAACAAAAACACCACAAAGCGCCGTGCTAACCTGGCGCCTAAATGACCTCTCCGCAGGCATGGCTGGGGCCAAGTGTCCCCGTTTGCTGTAGGGGCTGCCACCGCAGATGTCGAGGCCTTACGGGGACACCTCTCCGCGCACATCCCGTGCCCACCGCTGCGCAAGGTCGCACCGCATCTCCCGTGGCGTTCAGGGCAGGCCCAGTTCTGCTGGGAGACAATCACAGGTCAGAAGGGACGCTCGCTCGGGTTTGCCTCCTGTGCGCAAGAGGAGGGAAGCACAGGAGGAACAGGGTTCGTGCCCCACGCTGGGCCCCACGCCCGCGGTTCACGGTGGCAGATGCCCCGCTCCCTGCCTCCCATCGCGCTGCCCCAGCCCGGGAAGGTTTCTAGCGAGCCCGCTCGGCCTTTCCCCATCCCAGCAGCAGCCGCAATGCCTCACGACGAAGGCTCGGGCCCGGCAGAGCCCAGAGATGCCGACCCCGGTCCGTGCAATGTCGCGCAGGGACCCGCGGTACCGGGCTGCGCGCCCGGCGGGGCTCCCGCGGCCAAGCCCGCACCTTCCACTGCCTGCCGCGGGGACAGCCAGCACTGCTAACCTTATTTTCGTTGTGATCAGTTTCTGTGGGGAGCGGGAGAAAAAAAGATTATGATTATGATTGTGATAATAATTTAAATAAAACAGTGTTTTTAAAACTCAAGACGAAGGCACGCGTGTGCGGTGAGCCAACCCGTCACACCGAGAAGCAGGAGGTGACCTCCGCCGCCACCACGCACGTCACTGCAGGAAAGGGATCCCCTCCGGGGGCAGAAGATCCCGACACGACCTACCTGCGGCCGAGAGGGAAGTTTCCCTGTGCCCCCTCCCCGAGTGCGAGCCGCCCTCCCGGCCCGCCGAGCCCGCACCGCCCGCCCTTTCGCAGCCAGGGCCACGGGCAGCGCAAGTTGCGCGGCCGCCCCGCGGCAGAGGGCCGCGCACCGCCCCGAGCATTAGCAGTAATTACACGCGGCACTTGTTCAAGCTTCGCACGGCCCCCCCAGCTTCCCCAGTCGAGCAGCACCAATGCAACGGGTTATTAAACAAGCCGGGCTGACAACTGCGCTCCCCACTATTTATTTTCGCCACAAACACCCTACCGCTGCAGACCGCTGAGAAAACCCAAACTACAGGAAAGCCGGCGCCTGATCGCAACAAAAATAACAGGCAAATAGCAGGCTCAATCGCCTCTACCCTCTGCCTTCTTTAAATTTTATTTTTAATACATGACGGGGGGCAGGAATGGGCTTATTATGCAGCCACCCCGCTGGCAAACCCATGTGCCAAGGCAGAGGGAGCTGCCCCGGCGAGGGTCCCCTCTGCAGCGAGGGGGAGCGGGGGCGTAAGGCAGCGAGAGCCCCGCCGTGCCTCCGGCCCGGCAGCCCCGCTCCCAAGGAGGCGGCGGTGGGCGGGAGCCGCCAGCTCACTGCCCCCGCTCGGTACCGGGAGAGGGACGGTGCGGAGCAGAAAGCGAGCCCCACCGAGAATAGGTAACATTTTGTTTCCCTTTACTGGTGAAAAACGGGGAGCAGAAATTAAAATACGTCTCTGGAGAGAAGGCGCTCCACTTTGCTCGTCCTCCTCATCAGCTTTACCACAACTGAGCGATGGAGCGTTTAAGGTTCCCTTACCCAACTTAGCAAACAAATATATGTAAATAAGGCACCCGGTAATCTTTGTAGAGGTACTAGCAAGAAAAAGCAAAGACTACGCCATACTTGAATAAACGTGTTCTTAAGCCCACGCGTTCTAAGATGACACACTCCCCCCGGTTCATTCCATCTGCTGGAGGTGTTTTCTAAACATGGGACTATTGCTTTGCAAGGAAGCACAGCTCAAAAGCGAGGTAATAAGGTTGAACTGCAAATACCTTTGTATTTATTTACAGCGTAACCCTTAACAATGCAACAGCAATTACTGCTAAGTGTTGCCTTTAGATAAGAGATTCTGATAGGAAATGTATTATCTTGAAAGCAGATTTTAGGCCTTAAATGTCTGTAATCAAATAAACTTATTTCCAAGTCTGACTGACTAGGCCGGTTCTTTTAAGTTAACGGATTTATTGCATTTTGGTGGTTACTTACAAAAGGGGAAGGTGATCCCCACTGACCGTAGTTTCTTAATAGTAAATTTTCCAGAAGGTAGGATTCTTGATCTGACAAGGTGCCAGTCTGTGCAGCACTCATTTGCTACCCTGGTAATATGTATATTTTTTTGCCGATTTGAGGAAAACTGAGGGAGGTAAGGAGAGGAAATAAAAAAAAAAAAGAAAAAAGAAAAAAAAAAAGAAAGAAAAACCAAACCAAACAGCACCCAAGCAACTATATAAGAAAAATTCGCCCACACAAAATATTTGAAAAATAATCTGTCCGAGCAATTGAGACGCAGACCAGTGAAGTCCCTGAAGGACGGGAGTAATGCAGAGCTGTAAAGGTGTAAGGGTAGACTGTACAAGTACCCTTTAACACTACTACTCTTTCCCCTCGGCCCCGAAATAAAATAGAACTTCATGTGTTACAGAAGCGGCTTCACTGATGTGATTGCACGCTTTGCTATCACTTCTAAGAAGCAGTAATTTATATGCTGGCATTATATTTAAGAGTACACGTACTACAGATTATTTGGCATCTGCTATACACTGGAGTTTAGAAAAAAATGCAATACGTATATTAAACTATAAATAAATACGTAATCCTTCTTTAAATATAGGTACATATGTAAATCCTAGATATAAATACATTTGAAACACACACAGAGCAATCGATAGCTCGACATATACAGTTACACATGGTCTGGAATCTAGTGCATGCACTTCTACCTCGGAGTTATCACTTAATATATCCTTACATAGGCATATCATTTAAAACAACCTAATGTCGCCATACTACTGTGTATGGTCAAATGTTTCCAGGTTTTGCCATTGATTGCTAAGAAAACGTGTTTGTTTATTTGCCAACTCAGAGCTGCCATGGGAAAGTATTTTTTTCCTAGCGGATAAGGCGAGCTGACTAAGTGGAACATATTGCAGAAGAGACTGAAAAGGGATTTTTCGACCTGGCAGTTCCTAAATGGTCTTTGGAATTTGTGCGGAGGGGAACAAGCTGTTCCAGCGACAAAGTTAGTTATGAAATCCCTTTTCCCTCTCTTGCTTTCTTTCTCTCTCTCTAAATGAAAGCATTAAAATATACAGACGTGTAAAGGATCATTCCAACTGAATGGTAATTTATTAATAAACAAACAATGCAATACCTTCAGAATATTTTCAACAAAAAAAAAAAGAAAAATATTGATAGAATTAGATTAATACAGTTTCCCTTTTTATATATAGTGAAAAAATCAGCGTTTCAGTCAATTATAACGTCACTTTTCAGGAAAGGGGGAAACACTTTCTGGCGTTTGGTCCGCAACATCCAACTACAAATTAAAAATAAATTACTATGTCGCAATTTACATTTTAAAACAAGTCCTTGTAGAAGAGGAAGGGGAGGGGGAAAGAAGCTGGTACTCTACGCTGGACTTTTCGCTCCCTTTTAAACACGGGGCATGACAATACCTTAAGGGACGGGGAAGAGCGCGGGATGGGGGCCGGGGAAAAAAAGTATTTCTCAAAGCAATTAGAAAAACAAAACTTACGTGTTATTGGAGTAACACTGTCCTTTAACAAACCAAGACATGCTTTGGGGCTGTCTCTGTACAAAAGCTTTTCGCGATGCGCCCGCTTCCCTCCGCGGGCGCTGCGAGGGCGGGCGGCGCGGTAGGGAGCGGAGCGGAGCTGAGTTCCCGCGGTGTCCCCGCGACGGGGCGCGCTCAGAACTTGCCGCAGTCGTAGACGAAGGCCCCGGAGGTGCGGTAGAGAGGCTGGCTGCCGGGGAAGGCCATCTGACAGCTCCCGCCGCCCCCCGCCCCGCCGCCGCCGCCGCCGCCCCCTGCCCCGCTGCCTCCTCCGCCGCCGCCGCCGCCCCCCGGCGAGGCGCTCAGCCCCAGCCGCGGCGCCTCGAACACCTCTCTCGGGGCGGCGGCGAAGCCCTGCTGCGGCCCCGCGTAGCCCGCCGCGCCCGCCAGCGGGCCCAGCTCCCCCGCCGCCGCCGCCGCCGCCGCCGCGGCCGCCGCCGCCTGGTTGAGGTACCAGGAGGCCAGGCGGCCCTGGTGCGGGTGCGGGTGGTGCCCCTCCTGGTGGCCGCCCGCCGCGCCGCCCAGCCCGCCGTGCCCCAGCGCCCCGCTGCCGCCGCCCCCCGCCCCGCCGCCGCCGCCGCCGCCGCCGCCGCCCGAGGGCATGGCGTACTCGGGCAGCGGGTCCTCGGCGGGGCTGGCGGCCGCGGAGGGCAGGTGGCCGGGCCGATCGGCGCCGCCCGCCGCCGCGTACAGGCTCATGGCCTGCATGTTGCAGTGGTAGGTGCCGGCGGCGGCGCCGGCGGCCGCCTGGCCGCAGGGCGAGCCGTAGACGGAGCTGTGTCCCGGCGAGTATCCCCCGAGGGACAGCGCGGGCGGGATGCCGGTGCGCGGGGCGGCGGCGGCGGGGGCCAGGAGGCCGGCGCCCAGCTCGGCGGCGGCCTGCGGCGAGCCCCGCAGCGAGGTCATGATGTTGTCCACGCTGAAGCCCGGGCCGTGGTGGTGGGGCGGCGGCGGGGGCGGCGGCGGGGGCGGCGGGGGCTCGGGGGCCTCCAGGCTGAGGGAGCGGCTGGAGGGGAGGGTGCTGCGGGGGCTGCCGCCGCTGGAGAGGCTGCTGCTGCTGTCGGGGCTCTCGATCTTGGGCACGGCGCCGAGCGGCGGCGCGGCGCCCGGGGGGGACACGGCCTGCGGCGGCGAGGCCGTGCCGTTCTCCGTCTTGATGTCCTGGATGCGGACGGGCGGCGGCGGCGGCGCGGCGCTGCCCCCGGCGGGGCCGCCCTCGGGCTCGGCGGCGGCGGCGGGCGGCGGCGGGCGCGGCGGGGCATGGTCCTTGAGGTGCAGGCGGTCCTTCTCCTCCTTGTCCTTGACGGCGTCCTTCTTTTTGAAGCGGCGGCGGCGGCGGAGGAAGCTGCCGTTCTCGAACATGTTGTAGGAGTCGGGGTCGAGGGTCCAGTAGCTGCCCTTGCCGGGCTTCTTGTCGTCGCGGGGCACCTTGACGAAGCACTCGTTGAGGGAGAGGTTGTGGCGGATGCTGTTCTGCCAGCCCTGCTTGTTGTCCCGGTAGAAAGGGAACCGCTCCATGATGAACTGGTAGATCCCGTTCAAGGTGATCTTCTTATCGGGAGCGTTCTGGATGGCCATGGTGATGAGGGCGATGTAGCTGTAGGGCGGCTTCACCATATCCTTGGGCTGCGGCGGTGGCGTGTAGGGCCCGTAGGCTCGGGCCATGCCGGCCGGGTACTGCTCGTGGGCCGGGTGGGAGTACATGCTCATCGGGGCCGGCATGGCCGTGTAGCCCCCGCCGGCCGCCGCCGCAGCGGCACGGTAGTAGCTCTGCTCTCCGCCGAGGTACGGCACCACTCCTAGGGAGTTGGGACTGGACACGGAGTAGCGAGCCTGCATGTCCTCCCGTCAGCTTTCCCCCACCCTCCCCGCCGGACCAAACAGCGCGTCCCTTCCCCCTCCACCCCTCCGCCGCTCCGCGGACCGAGCTGGACCGGGCGGCCGGGCAACCCCCACCCCCCCACCCCCCCGGCGGAGCGCGGAAAAAGGGAGGAAGAATAACGATGGCAGCGCCGAAAGCCTCCTCTTCTTCGCCCGGGAAAGCCCACCGGCGAGCTCCCGCGCTCCACGCGGAGGGGGGAAAAAAAAAATCAAAAAAGGGGGGGCAAAGGAGGGGGGACAAAAAAGGGGGAAAATGTTTTAAAAAAGAAAACGGCGGAGGAAAAAACAAAAAAGTAATCGCAGCGGAGAAAGCAACTTCCAAACGCAGAAAGAGTATTAAGAAAATAAAACCTTTGCAAAGAGGCTCCCACGCTCCCAGTTCCTTGTTCCACGGGGATCTGCAACAAGTTGTCTGCAAAGGAGGGACAAAAGTAGAGGGATGTGTTTTGTTGGCTTTTTTAAGCGAGCAGAAGAAGAAAAAAATCCACCTTCCCGATCTCCCAGTGCAAAGTTTCCCTCTCTCTCTCCCTCTCGCTTTTTTTCAGTCTCTTTTTCAGTCGCAGGCTGCTTTGGGAAGCATCGGAAAAACTCCTGAACTTTTGAGCATCCGTCACCACGGCGAGAACTTTTTTACGCACTTACAGTTTTCTCCTTTTTTTTTCCCTCCCTCTCCTCTCTCGGTCTCCCTTTTTTTTTTTTTTTTTCCTCTCTTTTTTTTCTTTTCCTCCTTTTGCAGGCGGCTCGGCTCCGCCCCGCCGAGCCGGGCCGGCCAATGAGGGCTGGGAGACACCCCGGGCTCTGAATGAGGAGGGAAAAAAAAAACAAAAAAGGAGAGACCGGGGAGGAGAAAAAAAAAAAAATAGAAAGAAAGAAAAAAAAAAAAATCCCCACAGCAGCTCCGGGAGTTGTAGCGCTCGGGGACCGGCCACACACACTCGACGGCACACGCGGGCGCCCTGAGCGCCGCGGAGCCCCGCGTTCTCTCAGGCCGCTGCGCACCCGCGGGGAGCCTCCAGCGCCCGCGCATCTTGCGCGACGACCCCGCCCGAGCCCCGCTGCCCTGCACCTCGCCCGCTCGCCAGCACACCCGCGTCCTTACGCGCGCCCTTACACACGCACCGCGGGCACACGCACCATGTGCGTGTCCTTACCAATAGATATGTGTATATATATGTATTTGTGTGTGTACACATGTATGTGTGTGCATGGAGCTTCCCCCGGAGCTCCTTCCACCCACGCGCGCACCCCGCGCTCTGCCACGCGTGTTTTCTCCACGAACGTCACTTCTCTTGTTATTTTATATTATTATTATTCTTTGTTGTTGTTGCTGTTGTTGTGTGTGTGTGTGTAAACTCCTCGGTCTCCACACGTTCCGGTCGGGCTCTCTCCTCCCATTCCCTCCAGGCTGCCGCTCGTGTCGGCGGGCCGGCTCCGTGCCGGTGTGCCGGCTCTGTGTCGCTGTGCCGGCTCCGTGCCGGTGTGCCGGCTCTGTGTCGCTGTGCCGGCTCCGTGCCGGTGTGCCGGCTCGCTCCCTGTCCGCCCCAGCCAGAAGCTCACCCAGCTGCCTCCCACCCCCCACGCCCGCGGGGGCACGGGGAGAAAAGTGCCTGTATGTGTGTGTCTGTGTGTCTGTCTCTTGTGTGTGTGCGTGTCTGTGTGCGTGTCTGTGTGTGTGTGTGGTGGGGTGCCCCCGCACCACCCTGCCTGCAGCCAGCTGCCTGCCTGACCAAACGCTTCTGAAGAGATTGCATTCCTCCGGTTGACAAGGGTTTGACGAGTCCTGCAAAGCTCCTTTTTATTAATCAGCCACCGAGGGCTTTCCTCCCTCTGCCTGCAAAAGAAGCGCCCGCTGCCTCTGCTGTTTGTAAACACGGGCGCGTTTCTCTGAACGGGGTCTGTAGCTCGCCCCTTCAGGTAATTTTTGCGTGATGTGGGCTGCGATACGGAGAGGGGATCCTAGCTTTATCTCTTTACCCATTTGAGACGGAGAGGGCACAATTTAGTTGCTAGTCTCCTTCAGAGTGGATTCCGTGGTATGTCAGGTGTGTCAAAAGAAAAAAAAAAGGAGGGGGGGGGAGAAAAAGAAGAACAAAATCTCTTAACTGCTTGGCCGGTTCTGCGGTGAAGATTTGATTTGCCTTTGTCTAACTATCTGAAATAACATTTGGGCTCTAATCAGAATAAGACTTAAACGGGAACTCAACGGGAACCGAGAGTGAAGGCTTGGTTATTTATTTTTTAAATTTTAATTTCAATTGTCTCTTACATTTGATGAATGAAGATTTTCTTTTCGTACGTTAAACACGGGTGAAATTAGTATACATTGTTTCACAGTAGTCCATTTTACCAATACTTCAGATATTCGAAATACAGCCCAGTACTCTTCATTCGCTTTGTAGCCCCATACCTCTGAAACTTCATAAGCGTTAATAAAAGTTCAGCTAAAAGGATTACGCTGAAATAATTTTAAAGGGTGGGATTTTTGCGGGAAAGACGTGTGTGTGGTGCGCTTGTGAGATGAATTACCCGTCCTGATCCTGTGACACTAAAAATACGTTAAAAGACCCTTTTGGCTTCACTGATTCGAAACCCCCTTTCCACACTTTTTACTGTGATCGATTGCTTTGGAGATCATGCCTTTGGAGCGTGCTAAAGGCGCATCGTGTGCTTGGTGGTATTTTAGCAGGAATGGCTTTTCCTCTCAAACACCGATCTGTTGGTTATTAAAAAAAAAAAAAAAAAGGCATTTGAAATGAGATTCAAGTCATGTGAAGAAGGTAATTTATGTAGCTTAATGTCTGCTCCTTTTCATATTCAAACGTAACGGGTCTCCTTTTGGTAGTAAATGTCAGTTCTTTAATGGTGAATACATTATCCCGTTTAGCCTGTTGTATTTCATCGTCTGGAATCTTTCACCTGCTCCTGCCTAATTACACTTTTTTCCCTTTCCTCCCACCACGGCAGAATTAATAAATGTGCAAGCACTGGACTAGATGTCAATTCCAACACTTTATATTTTCAAAACCTTTTTCTTGTTTTGCTGAGGAGGGGGAAAAATGGAAAAAAGAGAAAGAAAAAGGGCATTTTAGCACGTTTCCATGCAGCCCGGGTCATCCGGTTTTCCCACGGTATTACCTGCCGTTAAAAACAATTTCCGTGGGCTTCCCGCTCGCTCCCTCGAGCGCCCGTAACGTGCCGCTCCGAGACCCGGAGCCTTCAGTGGCTTTTTCATTTTATCTGGACAATGTTGGCGGTAGCGAAGCTGTTTCACAGGCAAAGGTTGGAGTAACACCGAGAGGTTTCAGTACAGAGAAGGAGGGGAAGGGGGGGCATTAATCCGAAGCATTTTGCATCTAATATATTTTGCAACAGCAACTCTGGTGCTATAATTGCGAACTGACGCAACCAACGTGTGTTAAGTTACAGACCTCAACCCAGCAGGACTTTGGTTTCTCTGCTGGAGGCACAAAAGTCACCATTGTGAAGGTTCATAGTGGAATTTGGGGCTTGTGTGTGTGTGCGTGTCGAGGGAAAGCGACGTGTTTAGGGAGGCAGGAAGATCAGTTTTCCCCCTGCTACCTTTGGATACCACCCAGAACGAGTCCTTGGCGCTGGGTCTTCACCCACCCGGTGGCACGGCAGGGCTGCCTCTGCCCCTCATCCAGCCCGGCCTCGGTGCGGGACAGCCGCCCGGAGGTGTCCCGCCCGGCCCTGCCCAGGAGCGGAGCAGGACGGCGGCAGCAGCCTCGGCCTCCGTGGGCCCCTGTCCCGCTGCCGCCGCCTCCCCAGGCCGTGCGAGGGACGCCGGCGGCGGGGCGGGAGCCCCGATGGGCAGAGCCAGGCCAGGGAGCCGCGTTTGTCTTGAAACCCTCCGAGGATTCGTGTGTGTGGTCACTTGCAACCTTATTTAGGAAGATGTCAGAAAGAAAGATGACATCGGAGCGGTAGGCGGCGGGACTGGTATTTGACCTGGGCAAAGCCCAGGTGGACCCAAACAATTCGCTGTGCGTTGTCCTCCTCGCTCCTCTCAAAGACCTGGAGGTGAACTGCTTTCCAGCCCCGGGCTGTTTATGTTAAACGTAGTCAGAGCTTCGCTTCTCTCCCTTTCTTTTGGCTTCAACATCATAGCAGTGTCCCTGTAACTCCAAAAACCAGCCACCCAGCCCGGCTCTTCGCATCTCAGGATGCAGCTTTCCATGTTCTTTAAACAGCAGGCGACACCGCAGGAGAAAACCGCTGACATCCTTTCGAGGGGCAGGGAGGGAAGTTGATGGCATCAAATCTGTGCTTCACCAGTAGAAAAATCTGTTGTGCCGAAAGTCTCCTCTCTGTTTGCAGCCGCTGGACATGGGTGACAGCAATCCCTTCTTCCCTCCCTCCCTCTCGTTCTTGCACCAGCACCACTGCCATCTCAAGCCTGTGCAATTAAGCCGAGCTCTAAATGCAAGGTCTGTTTTGCGTGGCACTCAGTTAAGCAAACAGGCGTGATTGTTATTTTATTAACGTGGGTTAACAATTCCATAAATATGCCGAGGTAGTTTTCCAATCCAGGGCGTCTTTTATCTTGAGACATAAATAACAAAACTTAATACGAAAATGAGCACTCCATTCCCTGTGGCATCTTTAGCCTCTCGTTCTTGGCTGAGAAATAAATTATCCTTTGCAGTAAATGAGGCAGCAGACATCGGCTTCGTGCCATTCACGAGCGAAACACCTTAATTTCACGTTAGGTATCTAAAAGGGAATTTTGCCTTCAGTTTACAAAGAAGAACCGAGACCATCAAGAGGTCGGAGCATTTCATCTTCCCACGATAATTATCGCGGTTGTACATAAAATTCGTCTCTGTGACACAGGTTCGCAGAGATGTCGCAGCACTAAGAACAAGGACAAAACCCAGGCTGTGGGAAACTACTTGTGTTGTTTCTGCTGTAAAGTACATTCTGTAAAGCACTCACAC